AATAAACAGAATGATAAAAATAGCAATATCATATGGCAGCGCTGTTCTAAGTGCTTTACCTATATTTGCCTATTTAATCTACTAAATAACGCTGTGGGGTGACTATTGCTATTGTCTTCTTTTGCAAGTTAAGAAACTGAGAACAAGGAAGTTAAGCAGCCTGCTCAAGAAATCCTGATTTAAATAGTGGACTGAAAATCCAAAGCCAGGAAGCATGGTTCCCATGTCTACTTTGATCTAATGATTTCTTCTGTCCAAGTATCTGGTTAGGGACTTAGAAGACACAACTACTACAGTTTTAGGACTCATTTATTACGAATGTCCCATATATGCTTATAAAATAGCAACTTAGTATATTATCCTTTAAGACTCTTAATTTTTTTCAGACATTCTTGAGGGTATCAAGAGGCTGCAAGTTTGTACAGATGTATACATGTTTCCTGCCATGTTTTTTTTCCCAATTACTCATAAAGATGGTGAAACACAAAGATGTCATGAAAATGATTAGGATAGTAGAAAGGTAAGGAATATGGATAGGTTACACATGAATTTCTTGATGCAGATCTTTCTGGTTGTTATTTGGAAATGCAAGCTAAAGCAAATGGCCACTGGTTGCAGCCACTGAACCCATGTAGCTTCCATAAAAATGGAGAATAAGCTTTCCTATCAAGATCCCAAAGACATGGAGAAAAGTCTGGAAAGATGCAAACTTATGCTGACAAAGGAAATCAAAGTGGGAGTGGTCTAAACATCTGGTCACCAGAGATGACCAGTGCAGAAATCTAAGTGAGCAAGAAAATGCACAAATATAAATGCTAGGGAATCTTTTTCTCCTTTCCAGATGATATTTTACACACACACACACACACACACACACACACACACACAGACACACACACAGAGTAGTGCGCTCTGGACCAGCAATGCTATCATTTAGTCCTCGTAGGAGAAGTGTCCTCATCTGATGATTTCAGTTGGAAGGAAAATCTAAGCACAATAGCCAGCTCCTTCTTTCTCTCTCACAAGTAAATGTGCTATTCTTTATGTCTCATGTCTTCAGTTTTAAAACAGTCAACTCTGTCCTTGGGCAAGGGGCAGATGGTTTGTCTCCCATCCATTACCAACAGTGTCTGAAAGGGTAACTGTGTAATTCTTGGTTCAATATTGAGAAACTCACTTGCATAGTTTAAACCACATTCTCCAGTAAAGGTCCAAATTTCTTACCTGCATGCCAAAAATCCCCAAATCTTTGAGAAGTAAAACCTGAAGTGACTTGTGTCATTGGTAAGCAAACCTGACCTTACCTGATATGAAACTACTTAAAATCTTCATCCACTTAGAGCTTTGCTGTCTGATAAAATACCCAGTGGCCTCAGTTACTATGTAAATTTAAACCCATTAAAATTAAACAAAATTCAGAATTCAGATTCTCAATCATACTAGTCAATGCTCAATAGCCAGTCACATGTGACTAGTGCTCCCACACCAGATAAAGTCTTTTCTAGCATGACTGAAAGTTCTGCCTAATATCTACAATAGGGAAGCCATGTATCCTTACAGACATATATGTGATATGGAGTGTTAACCAAGACCTACATATTAAATAGAATATAAGCATTTTGTCAAAATTCTGAAAAAGAGAGAGGAGAGGAAAAGAAAGGGAGATAGGGAATTCCCAACTCATGTGTAGCCCATTCATAGATACGGACTGTGGACTTATATCAGCTTTTTATCAGTAACAAGGGCAATATTTTTATCTTTCTTCTTCATTAAAACTTTATTTACCTTACTCTAAATTGTTTCAGAATAGTCATGAAAAAGGGGCCCCTCAAATTTTAATAACAGGGAGAGAATCAACCAGGATTCTCTCTTCCTCATATATGTGGACCCTTGAGGCTAATCACAGGGGAGAACTTTATATGTGATTTAAAATCACAGTTCCAAGGAGATGTAATTGTTGTTCTAGAAGAGAGGGACAGTAACAAAAGGAATAGGAAACTTTCAAGGATTAATAAAGATGCCACTGATAGATTTTCTATGTTGGGTGGGATCCTGCCCATCCACTTAAGCAAATCCCTCACACAGGCCCGTCTCTCATGTCTTCCATGTGGTAAGACTTGTTAAAAGTAGACTCTTTGCTCAGGAATAAGTTCACTAGAGTTCAGCACGTTCTGAGATTTACTTGCATGCCTCCGTGGCTACCCTTCAGTAGGAGCAAGTGGGCCAGGGTGGTCATAACTTCCCGTTACAGCCGTGCATACTCTTGAAGCCTGACAACCAGAAGATGCTGGGCAGCACTAATCTGCCACATCTGGCTTACTCTCTTGTTCAGGTAGGTGTGCAATATTTATAGGATCTGGCAGGTGTATAGACTGGCCAAAGAACACTAAGACAGGTGTTTTAAGTGTCCTACAGGTTCTAACCTGTTTTACTCTGCTATATGAATTCAGGCAAGTAGCTTAACTGAATGTAGCCTTAGTTTTCTCATCTGTAGAATAGGGAGAAACAGCCCTTGGTTCACAACCTGTAAGGGTTCTTTGATGATGGAAATCAAAACTAAAATATTGAAATTGCTAACATATAGGAAATTAATCTTCCATTCTGAAGTACTACCTTCATTATGTGTGGGAAAATTACATACAAGTCTTATAAAGACATATCTATTAAAAACAACAATCTAAGCTAGTGGCTTGCTGGATTCTCAAAGTATTATTATGGCTTCAACACAAAGCAGCTTTTATTTAGAACATAAATTGGATTTCCGCTTGTAAAGAAAGCATGAGATAATGTCCTTTATCTTAATTTGACAGTGGAGAGGCTTTTCAGTATTGGCCAAGAATCTAATATTGAATCGTACCAAAACACAACCATTTGCTTTCTAAATTGCATCCATAGAGATGCAGCAGTAAAGTGCTGCCATGGACAGAGCTTTTACCAAGATTTTAAGGCTTCATGATCAGATCATTAAAAATGCCCGTCTCTTTTTGTAAATGTCACAATGTGCCCCCAGTGCAATTGTATAATAAAGAAAAGTTAAATGTATAAAACTGCCCAGCTCTGTCTTCTTTCAATATTTTGGCTCTTCAATTCGAATAAAATGTGAGGTCCTGCCTCCACTCAAACTTCCCAGGTAAGCTTCATATTCCTAGTCTTTTAAGATCAGGATGGAAGCTATAAACACTATCCATCAAAAACAGTGACCACATAGAATGACTGGCGCCTCCTTCCGGTTGGCTTTCTGAGGTTTTTAAAGCTTTTATTTCAAGAAAGTAGGGAATCTGAAAAATGATTTGAACAGGTAGGTATAAGAAAAAAAAGACATTAACCTTGAATATTAATTCAATATTAAACTGACAGCATAAATTCATTATCACTTAATCCTAGAAAATACATAGCTAATGCAAGAAACAAATTAACTACTGATGATATTAACAGAATTGCACTGTGCTGTAGACGCAGTTTGTTTAAAGAAGAAGACAGTGTTTTAGCTGGCTTTGCATCAGGAGATTTAAACACTTCATGACATTTTTAACAGCTCCAGTTAATTGAAAATTTCAAAATGAAACATTCTCTGACATAATTCTCTCCAACACTTAAAACAGTGCTAAAGCATTAAAGAAAAACGTGAAACTTAATTTGGAGATTTCTTTAAGTTAGGCTGCAATCTTCATGGTTGTTTAATTCAGATTTAGGTAAAAAAAAAAATCCTGCAACACATATTGAGATAGAGTGCACTATCTCGTCCTAAAAATTTCCTTAATTAAATTCTGGGAAAGTGAGTTGTAAGCTGATAAAAGGATTGTTATGTTTTCCTTCAACACATATGGTCCTTCTAATGTAAATTAGCACATGTTACTTTTTGGTTCTGTTCCCATTCCTTTGTCAGGTAAGAACTTTACCTGAAATTTCCAACAGTACCCTGTTTTGGGAAGTGATAATTTTCTAGAAAGTTGCTTTTGTTGGTTCTCTCTGAAAGAGAGCTTTGGGCTTTCAAATCAGGATTCCATGCAATGATTAATTGAATGAAAACCTTCCTATTTTTATTAGACTCAATGCTTGTTAGAGCATAGAAAAACGCTAATTTTCGAATCTCTCATATCTGACTTTGCCAAAATCTCCCCTTATAAACTTTTTTTTTCTTAGACCAATTCTTGCAGTTTTATCCGTTCCCAGCCAAATGCATCCTCCTTCCCCCACCCCGCCACTGGGAATGAAAGATGACACTAAAGACTGAGAACTGAAAGGTAGGGATGAACAAAGATCTCCCTCTGTACTTGGCCACTGCGACTGTGACGGGAAGGAATCAACAAGTTCTCACTGAGCGCCTACCAGGAGGTTGGCTTTGAGCGGAAACTCCGGTGAGTAGGCCAAGTTCTACAGTGAGGAGGTCAGCTCACCCTGAGTTCCACCTGGAATCCAGCGCTGGGCCAGCCTGTCCCGGGACCCCACAGCGCAGTGTTCCCTCTACCTCCACGACTTCCGTTCACAACTGTCTGCGGGTCCCCCCCACCCGACGCAGAGGTTACCATCCTACCCGCAGGAGGCGAGTTTCAAGAAACCCCAAGTTCACCTCGCCTCAGCCAGAAGTGGCAAAGGACGGAGCCCCCATTTCAGGAGCCCGCTGCAGGGCCCGGAACGAAAGGAGGTACTATGATAAGCTGGGAGAAAAAACCACAAAAGGAAAGGGAAAGGGGGTGGTGGTGGTAGTGGTGCCATAAGCAGAATTCCGGCTAACCTATCCGCCGTCTCTTAGCTAGCTAGACCCGGGGAAGAAGATGGATGTCCTAGGAGAAGTCACCAGGCGAGCGGACCCGGGAAGAATAAAAGTGATTGGAATTAAATTCCCACGCACCCAGGGCGGTCGCAGCTTTAGCTGGAACAAGGGAGCGCAGGGGACGCAGGGTGCACCGTGCTGGGCAGCGGCACGGTCTTGGGCTCCCTCCGCGTGGACTGACAGAAGGATGAATAGAAGGACAGACAAACCCGAGCCAGAAACTTACCTTCAGGGTTGGCGCTGATGAAGACCCGGACACTGCGACCGGCGGGCACCAAGTGAGAAGGCAGGGCCGTGAGGTTCCCGGAGAAAGCCGCCCGCCGGAGCGCGGAGTCCCGGGGACAGGGCAGCTTGGTGCCTGCGCCGGCCGGCCACATCGCCCTCTGGAAGAGACAGCTGCCGCCGCCGCCACCTCCTCCGCTCCTGGGGTCCCCGCCCGCGGTTTGGCGGACCTGGAACTGTTAAGTCGATGTCCGCAGGCGGTACAACTCAGAGCCGTTCTGAGCCCAAGGCGCTTTGGGCGAGCTCGGTGGCGCACACCACCCGCTCAGGGGGAGCAGCCATATAAACCCCGGGGCCCCGGTCCCCGCCGCCTCCTGCCCCTCTGGGTGACTTCCTTCGCTCGCTGCCAGGGCTCAGCACAGCAGCGGGCAGGAGCGGGAGGTCAGCGTGGCAGCGGCTACGCGCGCGGCGCCCGTTTGCGCCGAAAAGAGCCCGATCGGGTGGCTGAGCCAGCCGCCATCTCCACGCCCGCGCCCTCCGTGGGTGGAGGGGGCCGCCAGGCGGCGGCGACTGAGCGGATGAAGAGGGCAGATCAAACTTTTAGAGAAGGCGTCCCGACTTAGAAGGGACCCGCCTGCCGCGCAGCGCAGAAATAACCGCAGCTTAACAAGCGGCTGGGGTTCCGCTGCGGGGGTCTCTTGGCTGCTCAGTGGCCTCCCGGGTACCTCTAAAGACAAGCCTGAATGCTCTTGGCTGCCTCCTTGTTGGAGGACAAGAAATCGATCAGCCCGACGTTCCAGCTATTCCCTCTCCAACTCTCCTAAAGGTCAAACAAGCCCGAGCTTCTTCAGCAATCCACGCGTGCGGGCGTCTGCGCGCCTTTGCCGAAGTGCGGAGAATCCGGCCTCAAAGTTCGATGCACGCACAGGAGAGGCAACCCCGGGGGCTCTGAGCCTCAGATCTGCGAAGCGCTTGGGGGTTCTGGGGGGAGGGTCACGGATGCCCTGCCTCAACAGGCGCAGGTGGCGGCGTCTTGCAGCTGCGCTGGCACCCCACGCTCATCCGAGCGGGGGATTTTATAGCCAAGCCGCAACGCTCACGTGCTCCTCACCGCGTGGTGGATGGAGGACCCTTTCTGGGAGAGAATCTCCGCGGGGAGCACTTCCGAGACTTCTGTGGCTCCCAGGAATCCTTCCTGCTCCCGCTGAGACACATTCCCAGGCTGTTCCGCCTTCCTGGGGGCTCCTGGGCCTCTCGGCCTCAAGGATGCCGGGATGCCATCTAGGGCCAGTGCCAGTCCTGAGGGCGGCATCCGCCCTTCACTCCCCGACCCCGCCGCCTCGCGTAGCGTCCACCAAAGTGCAAGTTGCTGCGGCTCATGGACAGGATTTTCTTAACCTGAGTTGGCCTGGGGCCATGGTGTTTGTTTGAGCTTCAGCTGCTTTTCCAAGTAGGTGTAAGCCTGGGATCAACTGCACCTGAGGCTGATGCAGCCAACATGGGACCGTACTACCTCGAGTCGGGTCAGGGCTCCAGGTGGACAGCGAAACAGACTGGTCCACGTCCCATGTGATGTGAAATACAGAGGCGTTCACGCGTAAAATTGCGCTCCTCTGTGCCCAACGAAATCCTGTACAATCCAGCAGAAGGAAAATCTTGTAAAATCAAGGTGTGTGTGTTGGGGGATTGTGGACAAGGTAGTATTTGGAGCCTCAATTGGAGTTTGGCCTCCAAATCCCTCATTCTGAGCTTTTGGATAGTAGCACCCATGTGTTCGACAGGAGAACAGGGTTTCTGAATCTTCAAGACTGTGGAAAGGGTGGGCGGGTACAGGGTGAAGGTCTCTCAGCGGCATGTTTTCTCCTGTCACCTAAGGGCTCCTGTTCTGGGCAGTCTCTGCCATTCTCCCGGCCGGCCTGCACTTCCTCTGGGCCCTGCTGGTGGCAGTGAAGTCCTATGCACTGCTGTTTATGTAGTTAGCGTACCCCACACCCAACACTCGTTCTGAGGTAACCTCTTTGGAAGAAATGGATCTCTAGGTTTTTAAGGCTGTCTCTCCACTCCTGAGAACCTGGGGGCAGACAGCAATTCTTACTTTGTGATAATATAATGCAGCCAGAGAGAAGCTTTGAGTATCCCCAGCTATTCGTTCAATTGACTCACTGTAGCAAATTATTTGGTGTACCTCTCCAGACTCAGTGTTCCTAGATGGGAGCATTCTTCAGCAGGATTTGGACCCAGAGGGCCCCTGATATCCCTTTAATAAGTGCTGAGAGCTCTGGTGTGGGTTATGAACCTATAGTAACTGTATAAGTGTCAGCCCTTATGAACATATACTATCTGTTACAGAGGAAAGGAGCCAGGAGCACATTATAAAAGAAGATAAAAAGTGGCCAGATTCCCTCCAGGACCTGCCTGGGTTCCTTCCCCCATCCTAACTTACTTTTCTTTTCTTGAAAATGGGATTCAGATTTGTGTCTTCTGTCCTTTGCTTCTGATCTCAAAGCATTGCATTTTCTTTGGATGACTTTGGGATTTTTGGCAGCCTCAATAACCTAATTAACTGTTCTAGACAGGCCAGAGTTTAGCATCTGCCAGAGTCACTGCAGACCAAGGCCGCAGAGGAGAGATTTCACATTGTCTGTGGGGCAGTGCTTTAAGAGGCCTGTCTGCACACCCAGCCTTACACAGGTGGAGCAGGCTGATGTCTTTGGAGTATCAGGGAGATATCTGCAGAAGGATACCTGATCACCCATCTCCCCCCTGCACACACATACATATATCCACACACTCATGCACACACAAATCTTCCCTCACATTCTTCTACCCTGTCTCTTGTTAGCTTCCTAAAAGCAGAGACTCATTTTTAGCATGCAAATGTCATAAGACTTTACTACAAATCTCCATAATTCCCCAACTTGAGGAATCAGTTGATTGACTGATCATCAATTGATAGACCACTAGACAAATAGAAAGGAGACAGGTGATTGTGTAAGGCAGTCCCTGACTTTAGAGTCTACTTTATTTTTATATCTCTTTAAGACATTTCAAACATTTTCTCCTCTTCAGTAAATATTGGAAGTATTTCACACATGAGAAAACCAAGATTTGAAAAAAATCAAGTGCCTAATATAACTAATTAGTAGAGCCAGCTCCAGGTATAATACCTCTGTCCTAGTGCTCTTTACAACATAATAACTCCATTTTCTAATTTTTCATATCTGGACATCTTCAAGAACCTGGACAGTGGCTGCTCACACCTGTGCTTACAGATATGGAAGGCTGGTTTTCACTCCTGCTTTCTAGATGGGAAAGAAGGACAATGTCTACATGGTCACACAGGACTACATTCTTCTGAATTTCTTGTTTCTTTCTGTTGTTTTCTTATGAGAACAAAGGGAAATCAATACCATCTCAGAAGTGGGCTGGATAATTTAAAGCATCTAGAAATAGGAAGACAAAAGCACATAAAAAAATGGACCTGGGACCAAGCTTGTGATCATTCCTCTGCATTCTAGAGGACTGCAGAGAGTTGTTTTACCTTTATGAAACAATGGCCCCAGCCCTTGATCAAACAGGGTTGTGTAAAGGTAAGATTACTGCTTGGTTCATTGTACTCGCTGACCTAGAGGGAGCCTTGCTCCATTCCCCACTGATAGATAAGTAATGTCCATCCCACGAATTGTAATTTTTAAGCAAGATGAAGGAAAACTAATCACTAGTGATATTCCTATACTGAACACTCCTGTATGCTATGACACTGTATTTGGATTTATAAGGTATCTCAATCAATTTCACTGCATCCAGGGTCTGGGCCCAGCACCTCCTATCTCCCAGGATGGTATCCCTTCTTAGACACCGTTGTCCCTTGTACACCATTTTTATGTATGTATATATGTATGTACATATATCTTGTGATATATGTACATTTTGCTTGATATATCCCAAGGTATGCGAATATACCTCACCTACTTCCTTTGTCGTGACTGCTGGTGGTTTTTCACCTAGCTATGGTCTGTGTCACATGTCCAGTTCCTCTTGCTGTGTGATAAGGATGACCATGGAAATGTACACAACCAGAGCATATATGAGTGATTCTGACCCAGCAGAAGCAAGACTCATCACTCAATCTGTATCATCCTGCACAATCTGTATTTACCTGGATCACTGTTCTGTATTTGGACTATTACAGGTGGGACAGTTTAAAAATTGAGCCCTAGTGATGAAAAAGCCAACTGCAACACTGTACCACCCTGTGTCAGAGAGTCAAGCCAATGATGTGCTGTTTGTGTTTCCAAATCTGAGGAAGAATATCAGACATAATATTACATTCATGCTCTCAGTGGCTCTCTGCTTTGGTGATAAATATTTGAATCTGCTTTGCTAATGTGAGAAATGAATAATGCATGGTCACTCGAGCCAAGACTCCACTTCCCAGTGTTCCAGCTCAGGATGTGAGCTAGACCATCAAGAACCCACTTACTTGTTTACAAAATGGAAATTTTCAGTGAATGTGAGAATTTGTCAGCATAACAATTTGCCAACAGAGATGGCTGATTCAGAGGTGTCTGCAGCATGAGAGAATTCACGGCAGCGCAGTTTTAAATAAAGTTACACCTTTGTGGAAGCGCTATCTGATGTTTTCATGACTCAGAAATTCTAACTTTATATCCACCCCCTTCCAAATCTGTTTAATGTATTTTTTGATCAGTCTCCCTTTTACAAACTTCTAAACATATTGCAATGACAGCACTATGCATACCACATAAAATAACGTAAATTGTTTTAAAATAAACATTTATAGATTATTTCCTATTTCTAAATGTTTTATTTTCATTTTACGGTTGCCAAGTTTTTCCACCCTCATGACAATCTCAAATATGCACCTTAAAAAACCCCTCTTCTCTCCTATTTCATAATTTGACCCTTATTTGGAGAACTGCCTTTTACAAAGCCTTTCATATATGCTAGCTCATTTTGATTTTTAACCTGGGAGGCAGGTTCTTCATTACCTATTTCCTCTCTCATATTTTTATATGGAAAAGCAGCTCAAGAAAATTTAGTGATATATCGAAGTTCACTCAGAAGCTGGATAAATACCAAAAGTAGCCAACATTAAAAGACTGCTAAGCATCAAGCTATATATCAATTATATACCACATGGCCATCAACATGT